CCTAAAAATGAACCATTTTTAAATTGCAGCTTATAGTTCAAATAGCAATGTTCGGGAGTTTTTTTACAGTCTTTGGGCCTAACTTTGCCTCAGAAAAATAGTTTAAAGTGGTATTTTGGCCTCGTAGTATGGCGGCTCAGAAAAGCGATGTCAGCAGTCATTTTAGCTCGCTCTTACATCACTGGTGGGGAAGAAAGATAATAAACCTGTACTCTTCCTACAGAAATTTGGTTTGGTTATGGAGTTATTGAAGTTGTGTGACCTGTAATGGGGATTAACTACGAAAATGAAATAGTAACAATTGTTTTTCTTAAGTTGGTTCCCCACCACTGACGTCATAAATGACCGCTGCTGGCCTATTTTGAGCTGACGGTCTTATAGCCCCAAAAGTGGGAAAAAGGCAACTTCAAATCGAATTTTCTCATAAAAAAACAAGAAGTGAATGAAAATGAATATCGACAGTTTATCTTACTCATCTAAAGCTAACTAGAAATGAATGCAAACAATATACCAATTTTAGGCTTCAGTTCCCCTTTAAAGCTGGGTATTGTATTATTTGTAAAACTTATTTAAGGTGGCACTGCAGACAAGAGTCCCATGGATTAAGGTTTAATATAGGTTTCATTGTATGCATTTTTGCACAGACCTGTATTTGGAATTGCAGCCCTGTCATTAACCACTCCTATAGTTTTTTCAAAGGTATGTTTACAGTTCAAAGTATTCTAATCTGTAGGTACAGAAACAGCCTTGATTGAGGGCAAGCTGTAAAAAAGAACCAGACTACTATAAACTCTAAGATTAAATGGTGTTGATTTTTACTTAATTTTCACATCATTATTTACGTGTGAGTGTCTTGTTCAGTTAAGTATGTGACATAAATCTCGATAATTATTTTAAACCCTAATTTTGAGATTTTTAAGTTTTAGCTAATATTCTTTTCATTTTCATCATATAGAACCAACCTCTTGTTTTTGTTGGATTCTTGGTGTTTGAGTTTTGTGTTGGTAAGAAATTGCTCAATAGTTAAAAAAAACAAAATCTTGCCTCCCTCTCAACCAATCAGATGCAAAGCTTAAACAAGGACCTTGTCCTTCATGTCTGTCCTTGCTCAAGGCCAGTTGCTTGAACTTGCTTTGAATTTTCATTGGCCTCTGAGATTATTCCATATTTTGATCAACCATTGTCAGTAATTTGGTAGTGGTTTCCATGACACTTCAAAACAGCCCATTCCTTATTTTTTATTAGAAGTTTATAACTAGGCTTCACACCATTCATTAAACTGACAATTTGTGTATTTAGCATTTCTATGAACTATCATGTCAAAGGATGTTGTTTTTTTTTCTCCTGAAGGAGTGTTCTGGCCAGCTATGGGAGTGCTGAGAAGTAAATATGTCCCTGAATCGGGTAATCGTTATTTATCCTAACTTGTGGAAGCATGTAAATTATTTTATGATTTTGTGTCTAGGTAGTCCTATTTAAGTTGATAGAGCATCC